GTACATTAAGATCAGTTGAGTATCCTGGCCATGGAACTTCCATTTTCCCTTCAGGGGATATCCTATAGTTTTGATTTGAATTTCCCTGATGATTAGAAATGTGAAGCATCTTCTCATGTGCCTGTTGGCCATTATTTCTTTGGAGAAGTGTTTGTTCAGGTCCTCCATCCATTTTTGAATCAGGTTATTTGTTTTTATGGTGTTGAGGTCTGAGGTCTTTATACATTTTGGATGTTAAGCCCTTATTGGATGAGTTGTTTATGAATATAGTCTCCTGTGCTCTAGGTTGCTTTTAGTTTGATGGAGTCCCACTGTTCATTTTATATTTTGTTTCCCTTGCCCAAGGAGATGGGTCCAGGGAAAAATGGCTTATACTTAGATTCATGAGATTTTTGCCTATGTTTTCTTGTGTTTTATGGTTTCGTGTCTTACATTTAGGTCTTTTGAGTTTTAGATCTATTTTGAGTTTACTTTTATGTATGGAGTTAGGCAGTATCCATTTTCTTGCATAGAGCTGTCCAGTTTTTCCAACACCAGTTATTGAAGAGGCTGTCTTTTTCCCCATCATATATTCATGGTTCTTTTATAATATGTTAACTGACCATATATGTGTGGGTTTCTATCTGGTCTCTCTATTCTTGTGCCAGTACCATACTGTTTTGATTACTGTAGCTTTGTAGTAGAGCTTGAAGTTGGGGAGTGTTAATCCTCCCAGCTTTGTTCTTCCTTCTCAGTATTTCTTTGTCTATTTGGAGTCTTTTTGGTTCCATATGAATTTTAGAACTATTCTAGTTCATTGAAGAATGCTGTTGGTATTTTGATAGGGATTGCATTGAATCTGTAGATAGCTTTAGGCAGGATAGCCATTTTGACAATATTAATTCTTCCTATCCATGAGCATGGGATGTATTTCCATTTATTGGTGTCTTTAATTTCCCTCATGAGTGTCTTGTAATTTTCAGGGTATAGGTCTCCCACCTCCTTGGTTAGGTCTATTCCTAGGTATTTCATTCATTTTGATGCAATTGTAAATGGAATTATCTTCCTGATTTCTCTTTCTGACATTTTATTATTAGTATATAGGAACACATCAGATTTCAGTGTATCAATTTTGTATCTTGCAACTTTGCTAAATCTACTTACTATTTCCAACAGTTTTTGGTATAGTCTTTAAGGTTTTCTATGTCATTTGCAAATAGTGACAATTTAACTTATTCCTTACCAATTTGGATGCCTTTTATCTCTTTGTTTTGCCTGATTGCCATGGCTAGGACCTCCAGTACTATGTTGAATAAAAGTGAGAATGGACATCCTTGTTTTGTTCCTGATCTTGGAGGAAAAGCTTTCAGGTTTTTAACATTCAGTATGATGTTAGCTGTGGGTTTGCTGTACCTTTATTATGTTGAGGTACTTACCCTCTATACCCATTTTGTTGAGAGTTTTTATCATGAATGATGTTGAATTTTGTCAAATGCTTTGTTGGCATCTATTGAGATGATCGTATGTTTTTATCCTTCTTTTTGTTAATGTGGTATATGATATTGATTGACTTATGAATACAATATGATACTTGCACTCCTGGGATAAATCCCACTTGGTTGTGATGGATGATCTGTTTGATGTATTTTTGAATTCAGTTTGCTCATATTTTGTTGAGGATTTTTGCATCTGTGTTCATCAGAGATATTGGTCTGTAATTTTCTTTTTTGTGGTGTCTGCCTTGTTTTGGTATTAGAGAGATGCTGACCTCATAGAATGAGTTTGTAAGTATTCCCTCCTCTTCTACTTTTTGGAGTACTTTAAGAAGGGTGGGTATTAGCTCTTCTTTAAATGTTTGGTAGAATTTGGCTATGAAGACATCTGCTCCTGGAATTTTGTTTGTTGAGATTTTGTTTGTTGGGATTTTTTTGGGATTTTTTGATCACCAATTCAAATTCATTGCTGGTACATAATCTGTTCAGATTTTCTGTTTTCTTCCTGGATCAGTATTGGAAGGTTGTATTTTTATAGGAATTTGTCCACTTCTCTAGGTTGTTCAATTTATTGGCGTACAATTTTTCATAGTATTCTCTAATAATTCTTTGTATTTCTGTGGTATCCATTGTGGCTATTCCTTCTTCATTTCTTATTTTGTTTATGTGTGTATATTTTTATTTCTGGGTAAGTCTGGCTAGGGGTTTACGTATTTTGTTTATTTTCTCAAAGAACCAGCTGTTGGTTTCATTCATTTTTTTCTATTGTTTTATTCTTCTCTGTGTTATTTATTTCTGCTCTGATCTGTATTATGTCCCTTCTTCCACTAACTTTGGGTTTCATTTGTTCTTCTTTTCCTAGTTTCTTTAATTGTGAGTTTAGACTATTTATTTGGGATTGCTCTTGTTTCTTGAGAAAGGCCTGTACTGCTGTGTATATTCCCTTTATAACTGCTTTTGCAGCATTCTACATATTTTGGATTGTTGAATTTTTGTTTTCCCTTTTAATTTGTTCATTGATACACTGATTATTTTGAATATCCACTGATTATTGAAGCATGTTGTTTAGCCTCCATGTGTTTGTGGCGAGAATTAGAAAATTCAGAAAAGCATTTTACAGGAGACATTTTCTTTTGATTTTATTGTTTTGTGATTTATTTTTTAATAATTTAATGAAAAATTTCAAAATTAAAGAGAAAAAATATATATTTTAATTTCCAGTTACCAATTTGCATTTGATTTTTATTTAAATCCCCCAACTATATTCATAACTGCATGTTTTTCAGCTTTATTGAGATATAGTTGACATACAACACTGTATAAGTTTAAGATAAACAACATAATGATTTGATACACAGATATATTGCAGAATAGTTACCACAAGGTTAGTTAACACATCCATCATCTTACATAATTACCTTTTTTTGGGTGGTAAGAATTTTAAGATCTACTCTCTTAGCAACTTCCAAGTATATAAAACAATATTATTAACTATAGTCACTGTGCTATACATTAGATCCCCAGAACATATTCATCTTATATCTGGAAGTATATGTAACTTTTACCAGCATCTCATTTCTCCTATTTCCTCAGCCTCTGGCAACCACCTATTTACTCTTTGTTCTATCAGTTCATCAGGTTTAGTTTCCACATATAAATGATATCATACAGTATTTATCTTTCTCTGTCTCACTTATTTCACTTAGCATAATGCCCTCAAGGTCTGTCCATGTTGCTACAAATATCAGGATTTCCTTCTTTATTATTGCTGAATAATATTCCATTATATGTATGGAATATTCATCCAATATATATAATTCAGTTTTCTCTCTTCATCCATCAATAGGCACTTAGGTTGTTTATATATCTTGGCTATTGTGAGTAATGCTGCTGTGAATAAAAGGGTGCAGATGTCTCTCTCTTTGACATAGTGATTTCATTTTCTTCAACTATATACCCAGAAATGGGATTGCTGAATCACTTAGTAGTTCTATTTTAATTTTTTTAGACACCTCCACACTGTTTTCCATAGTGCCTATAGCACTTTACATTCCCAACCAAGAGTGCACAAGGGTTCCCTTCTCTCCATACCCTTACCAATACTTATCTCTTGTCTTTTTGATAATAACCATTTTAACAGGTATGAGGTGATGCCTCATTGTGGTTTTGATTTGGGTTTCCCTGATGATTTGCGGTGTTGAGTATCTTTTGATGTACTTTTTGGTCATTTATATGTCTTCTTTGGAAAAATATTCATGTCCTCTGTGCATTTTAACATCATATTGTTTTTTTCTTATTGAGTCGTGTGAGTTCTTTATATATTTTGAATGTTCATCTCTATGAGATACATGATTTCCAAATATTTTCTCCCATTCTGTAGGTTGCCTTTTAATTTTGTTTTTTTATAGCAGTGTTTGTCTTTAAACTGCATGTACTGAGCCTTAAATCTGTATTGTTCACCTTTTAAGTCCTTTCTGAGTGGTTGTTTTTACAGTGTTTGAAACTCTTAAGGCTTTATTTTGCATGATGAGAATTTCAAAGACACACACCCCTCAGTTTGATTTCCCCCAACCACAAAACAGTCTTTCTTTTTTGGCCTCAAGGTTATTGCTTTATTATAGCGGACCAGCCTCTATGGACCCCCAAAAGTGCTATGGTGTTCTGACCTTGTAAGCAGAGGGGGAAAGGCAGAGAGGTCATAGGAGCACGGTAAGAGTTGAAGAGAGCTTTCCAAAGTTTTTGTTATGGCTGAGAGGTAGACACACATGTTGTTGTGATGACTGAAGGGTGTGGGTGGGGGAATGATTGCCTGGCATGCTGACTGTGGTTGGTTTCCCCTTTTTGCTCTTTCTAGCATGCCAGTGACTTTCTTTGAACAGGGAGAATTAAGTGTTTTGTTGTTTTAAATTCTACTTGGGAGTTCAGCTAGAATATAAATTGTACATTAATAGCTCAAGGGATGTTAAAGCAGAAATTAAAAACTCAAGAATTATCCTCTCATTTACACATGAAGAAACTGAAGCTTAGAGAAGTTGTGTTTTACCTGGGGTCTCACATCTAGTAAGTGGCAGAACTCAGAGAAAAGCCAGGGCCTTCATTCCTCCCTCCTTTGCTTGAGCAATTTGATGTGCACTTTACCAGGGAGAACTGGAGTCTTTTCTTACGAGATGTCATGATGTACACACAAATCAACATTCATAAGCCTGTTCTGACTTTCTTTTTATGAGTTTCAAATATAGCATAATGGCCACTGAAAATAAATCTTTGGATTCCAAACCTGACAATGTCCTTCGGCTCCATTCTTTCTCTTGGGTTCAAGGACATATTCCATTTTATTGCAAATTGAACATAAGCCATTTTACTACACAGCCAGCAATTTAGCAAGACCTTTCCAGCTTTGTCTTGAGGTTGTGTGTGTCTATAACCATTTTCTGTGGTGTGTTTCAGCTGTCTTTGAATGGGCTGGAGACCATTCCCTAGTGGTCCCAAACTGTAAATTTATGCATTCTGTATTATTTTCATTTTTAGGACCAGATTTTTATGGAAAATGTAGGTGCAGTGAAGCAGCTCTGCAAATTAACCAACAACCTTGAAGAAAGAATAGAAGAGTTAGAAATATGGAACAGAAAGCTGGCCAGGCTAAAGCGGCTCAGCAGTTTGAAGTCCTCTGCCAGTGAAACAAGTTCAACCAGGTATATCAGGGTTGCCACAGAACTTTGGAGAAAGGAGAGTGGGGTCTCTCCCTAACTAGATCAATCTAAGGTGCCTTTCTGATTGAGCGGCAACCATTACTTTCTGATAATGAAGTCTCTATTCTTCTTTTAGTGTTTTGGAACACAGCTGTCTTATGTGATAATTTTCTTGTTTTCTTCTGCTGGCGCTTTAAAAATGAAATAAAACATGAATCATCTGCTTAAGAGCAGTTGTTATAAGAAATGCTGCATTTTAGCAAAACGGTGGCTTCTCCTTTAACAAGGGATTTCTAAATTTAGCATACCGTGTTTAGTTTTCAGGGAAAAACTGGAAAAAAATTTTTTTTATTACTTAATGAGGTAAGTGCACATTTTCTGGGCTCTAATTTTGAGGAAAAGAGAAATGTAACATTTAATGCATTCATTTATGCTTACTAAGGTTCTTTTCCACAAAGGAACTTTCAAATGCCTTGACTTCTCCTTTTTAAAGTTACTGCTGTATTATAAAAAAAAGTTATACTGCTGTGTTAGTGATAGCCTGGGCCTTTGTCATGTAACCCCTGGTGGAGAAGCATTTCAGTAGTAATTAATTTTCTCTTTTTTTAAAGCAAATTTAGCAGAGCTCTTAGTGCATCTTCTCCAAAAAAGGACATTCCCCAAAAAAGCAACAAGGTAAGTAGACTTCACTTTATGATGAACAGATGATATTTTCTTTTGTTTTTTAAAGCCTTTAGAGAAATTGATCAAGAATGTTTTTCTTCATTAATGTGTTAATAGAGACCCTGATTTGCATCCTTATGAATTTCAGGCATTTAAGAACTGTCCCTTTAGTAGATACTAACTGGTGTTTCAAAGGGAAATTTAGAGAAACGAGTATTTCTCTAAATACTCATATTCATTTCAGAAAATATTCCTTTCAGAATATATTCATTTCAGTATATTCACAGAACATATTCATTTCAGAAAAACTGTTCTGCCAGTTTGTGTGTACATTGTCCCTATCAGGTGAAATTCATCAGCCTCCACACGCACAGGGCACTGGGCTGCAAGACCTGTGTGCATGGCTCCCCTCACCCCACTTCCTTATCCTCAGCTTCAGAAGGTCCCCGAGGGATATCCGCTAATCCCTCTTTTCACTTTAATTTTTAGTACTGTATATGCAAATGGAAAAGAAATATTTACTTGCTTGCAAAAGTTAAAATGTGATGGTTTTATTAATGAATGAAGAGAACTTTCATCAAGGAGGGTAATATTTATGGTAAAAAGTGAAGGTTAATCATTTACAACTTAAAGGATACCCTCCTCCATGCGGAGGGAAAAGCTGCAGTGTTCCCTTCCCAGCTGCAACTCAGAGAGAGCTGTGAAACTCAGTTTGCTCCTTCTGACCCACCAGTGTTTCCAAGGGCCCTTTGCAGGAGAAGATGTTCATAACCTTGAATCTATAGCCTCTTAAGGGCTGACCTGATGTTTGGGCCATTTCCCCAGTTTACTATCTGCTCCTCATGTTATACTGCATGGAGCTCTTCTAAAAAGATTCAGAAGAGTTTAATGTTCTACTAAAAACTACTAAAATGTTATGCTGCTGAAAAGCTTCTCGGTGTACTAATAAACAAAAGTACGTGGATAAATATATATATGTGGAAGTGTTCATGGGCAAGTTACTTAGTTGCACTGGGAAATAGAGATAATCATAGCATCTACCTTACAAATACTATTGATAGGATTAAATGAGCTGAAGCCCTTAGGCACAGTGCCCAGCACATAGCAGGTTGGTTAGTAAACACAAAACATTACAAACAGTGTGAGGGAGGGTACCCTTTGTTCTGACCAGTTTGCAGTGGGACAGAGGGAGCTCTGATGGGTGCAGTCTGGCCACATGCAGCCTCTGTAGCTCCCATCTTGCATCTAGAGAATCTATTTTGCAGTTATCTCAGAATATGAACTAGAATGCATGGCCATGACAGCAGACTCCATGTCTGCCTCGCTCACTCTGTGTTCCCAGGGACTGGCACATAGTAGATACTCAAGAAATACTTGTCAAATGAATACAGGGCCCTGTCTGAAAATATTCTCTGAAGGCTCACAATCTAAATTACAAACATTAAGTGGTTCAGTGTTTTGGGTTGGGGGTTGAGTGTGGCCACAGGAAAAAGGACTTCTGTAGGCATCAGAGAGCACCCATCAGCTTGGAGACCTCTTGCGGTCACTGTCCTATGCCTGTGGGGGGCAGACAAAGGTGCAGGAGTATTGGGGGAGCTAGCCCTTCAAGGAGGAGTAAGCTTTGGCTAGGTAGTAACAGGAGCTGTAGGAGAGGTTTCAGATGGAATGGTATGAACACAGGTCTGGGAGCTGGCCTCATTGAAGGATCAGGTGGGTGTGGGTTAGGGAGGAGAGTAGAAAATAAGGCTGAAAATATTGCTTAGGCTCAGATTTACTGGACCACCAGGAGTTCATTTGGTAAGCCATGAAGACCTTTTGAATAATAACAAAAATGTACATCAAAGATGTACAGTATTTCCTTTTTTTATAGACATAAAAAGGGAGGGAACATAGCACTGTGGTTAGGGGCACAGATTCTGCAGCCAAATGTTTTTTGGTTCAGATCCTGGCTCTGTGACTTACTAACCATGTGATCTTGGGTGAAGAACTTAGCCTTCCTGGGCTTCAGTTTTCTCTTTTCTCTGAAATGTGGATGATGACAATACCTGCCTCACAGTGTTGCTGAGGATTCAATAAATTAGTATATGTAAAACACTCAGAGTATGGCACACAGGAAGTGCTATGAAGTGTTTATTAGTAGTAGTATTTTTCAAACCCACCATTTGAGTGGTTCTCTACCTTGCCATACATCAGTCTTCCAGGCAGCTTGATTAAGTATGAATAATGAGGGTGTTTTGCCTCCTCTGTGCTCTTCGTAGGAGGTCTTGGCTGTTTCTCTGATGTTAATTTCCCCTTCCATGCCACCAACCCCCCAGGTAGCCTCTGTTCCCCAGAGCCTCAAGATCCTTGGGTCACTGAAGCATTATGTGGGGGCAGAGTACTAATCTTGGGTGGGTGGATGCATTCATGAGCACAGTGCTGGCTGTGAGCTCATGGTAGTCCTTACTAGACAGAAGCTGGGCTGGGCCCTGCCTCGACTTCCGCACAGCTGCCAACGCTGGCCGAGATGGGGCTTGTTCTGGAGGAAGACAAGGTCTCCTGGTCTGTCATCCAGGCCATAGTGTTCCTCTTCCTTCTCTTTTTCTACCTCTCAGAGGTAGGTGGGGGATTCCTGCCCTGTGTTGGTAGGTGGGGTGAGGTGGGAAGGCTTTCAGGGTTCAAGTAAGAGTTTACTGAGTATGTGGGGGACAGGGAGAGAGAAGGAAGAAACACGGATACTTTCCATTACCCCACTTTTTACAGATCCCCAGCCCCCACCCCACCCCAAGTGAAAACCTTCTGAATCAGAATTTTCTGGGGCATTTAGGTTTTTCACAGGCTCCAGAGTCATTCTCATGTTAACCTGAATTTGGGAACCATTATGTGTTAATGGGATTCACCCAATAACTCTGAATGGTAGGCTGGTATTATTTTATCATTCCTATTTTATTGATAAAGAAAATGGGGATCAATAACATTTAAATGACTTGTTCAGGACTCAACTCCAAGTCTGACTCTAGGTTTTACTCTACTTTCCTACAGTAGGTCAAAGGATTTGAAGTAAGAGCAGGAGGTTTAAAACCATCCAGCCTCTGAGGGGAGGAGCTTAGAGGGGAAGCTCTTATCCTGAGACTAATGCTTCTTAATTCCAAACAACCCAACAAACGTCACTGAGTCCCTTCTCTGCACAGCATGTTATCAGGACATCCTCAGAGCAGATTCAGTGAGATGCAGGAGTGGTAAAAACCATTTACTTCTTGGTATTCAGAGTGGCTTCCAGCTGTACCTATGGATGACTCAGTCACAATAGCCCTGAGGTTTATGTACTTACTGGAAAGGGTATGTTTAATCCCCCAACCACACCCCCTCATTCTCCAATATAACACTACAGAACAGTTTTTTATTCAACCAGCCCAAGACATTCAAAGACCAGTATGAAGCTATTTCTTAACTACCTCCACCGTCCATTTCCCTTCTGACCAAAGGCATGGTCCTTCCCTTATCCCCAAGAGGAAGCAAATAAAATACTCCCTATGCATTAGTAGGAAAACTCATATTTAAGAAGCACCTTATGTAAGTGGGCAGCGAACTTCTCCTGTCTCTTTGACTGGATTCCCCACCAGCTGCACAGCTGCCTATCTTAGAGTTCTTGACCCATTCCTCACATGCAGGTTTTCATGCCAAGATGTATCAGTCCTAAAGCTTTCTCATTCATTTCCCAGAGACTATAATTTACATATTTTTAGATCCCCTATAATGTTATGCATAGTAGTGCTTAATGAATATTTGTTAAATGGATGCAAGAATAAATAAGACAAGGGCCCAGAACTGTCCTGCCACATAGGTAGCAGAATTGGATGCCAACATGTATGACTTAAGGAGTAACTTAGTAGTAGTATTTCATGCTGCAGAAATCTTCTCCATGGTTTGTCATGCTGCTTGAAATTCTTCCTTTAGGATTTATTCCATCATGTCTTAAAGACCTTTTGATTTTCAAAAGTATCCTATTGAAAGAGACAGATATCTAGGTTCTTTCAGTATCTCGTCCAGTTCGTCCTCCTCTCTCATTAAACTTCAAGAATAGGCGCTAAATGAATGGCACATACAACTGTCCTGCAGGATGTCAGGAAACAGAGAGGTTACTATAACCCTCAGTGTCAAGGAAAGGGAGGCACTTGAAGGAGGCTTTGGGAGAATGTCATTGCTCCAGGCAGAGAGGAGGGGGAGACGCAGGTGGACGAGAGAACACCAGCACCCCCAGGGAGCTGCAAAGGTCCCCACTGGGCACCCATCTCCAGGCGTCCTTCTCGCAGCTAGTGTCGCTGATTGATCACTGCTCATTCCTGAATCTTTTTATAGGTTTATTTTTCAGGAAGAAAACGACTGTGTCCTAACTGGGTTTTCCAGACTCTGGTTATAACTCTCATTGCTGTGATGGCATTTTGGTAAGAAAACCTCGGCGTTATGCTTTGCCAAAAGCCCTTTTTTTCTTCCCGTCTTCTTTTTCTTACATATGAACTGGGGGCTGACCTATTTCCTTTGAAGACAAGGAGCTCTTTAAACTGGGCATTGACCTGAATAGCTTAGAGATGGAAGAGCCCTTTTTAAACTCATATTTTGAGCAAAAGAGCACAGGCTTTTTGTATTTAAATGTGAGAGAAAGAATAATTTTTTTTCCAACCAAGTAGCTCACTGTGCCTTGTCGTGTGTGTGTGTGTGTGTGTGTGTGTGTGTGTGTGTGTGTGTGTTTTCGTCTCACAAATAACTATCAAATTCTTTGTTCTCCTTCCTGTCTTATTGGGGAAAGGAGAAGAATAACAATCAGATACAATCTACTATCCCTTGGACAGTCATATTTATTAGGATTCTTCTAGGTTCGTCAGTGAGACTTCACACCAAAGGGACTATGAGGTAATCCCAAAATGTATATTTGAAATTGTAGCCAAATTTACTTAGTTAGAGCAAGCAAACTCTTGCAGTAAAGGCACAAGTATTTGCTATGCAGGCACTGGGTGACTTTGGACCATCACCCCTCCTCTGAGGGGTGAGTCACCCCTTCCTGGGATGGGGTGTTCCCCAGGCTTCTGATCTTCTGACTCCTGCTGCTCTGATGGCCCCTTAGCCATTGAGCTCTGGTCATTTTGCCTGTGTCCTCTGGGCCCTCTTGTTTTTGGTCTGTGTATTCACCTGGTGAAAGGGACATTCACCTAACCCTCAAAAAATGCTGTGTCAGTGTGGGAAAGGCTGGCTTCTGGCCTTGTCTCCAGGCAGACAGTCATTTTCAGAGGCAAAGTAAAGGATGGTGTCAGGGTGCTTCCAGTTCCTTGATCTGAAACAGCTTGTCAGCTACAGCGGACAGTTTGGGTCCCTCGGTGCCCTTCTCTCCCCTCTGCATTCTAACTGCCCACTCCGGGAAGGATCCCTGAGTATCTGACACCACTACACAGAACTCCCATTAGAAGATGAGCCATTTTTCCCACTCCCCTCGGTGAGCTTGTCTTCTGCGGGAACTTCCAACTCAGGAGAGCGGAGCACCCACCTTTACATCCTCCAGGAACACAGATTCCTGCAAACACCCAATGGACAGGCTAGAGGGAGTCTAATTCTGATGACTACTTTTTAAACATGCTTAGTAGACCTTATGAATTCCAATAATGTTGACCGTGAAGCCCACACATGGCATATTATCTTGTTTCTGGCCGGTGGTGTACCTGAGAAGGGTCAAAACCAAACTTTTCCCCAAAGAAAGGAGATGACATCCATTTCATTCGATGATCCTGTAAGTTCTCTGGGCCCTGCATTAAAGCAGATTCCAGGGACAAATCAGAAAGTGTAGGCAAAGATACCAGGGAGCTAGCGAGTGGGGCCTATGGGAGCACAGACGGAGACTGGCCGCAGCAAGTGGGCACCAGGGCGACACAACACATTCTGTCTGGTGGCATCTCTGTCAGAAAAGCACCACTCTTCTCAGGCAGGACTGTGCCCGCTGGGCAGTAGCCTGCTGCTACTGAGGACACTCTGGGAATTCTTTCTTTATGAGTGGAGTTCAAACATATGGCACAACGTGTGTATTAATGATGGTAAATCCACCACCTTTGATGGGGAGCCAGGTGAAGTAAGTCAGGCTGGTGGGAAGTCAAGTTAGGTCACCCTGCGTCAGGCCCAGCACACAGTGAAGGATCAGCAGCGGGGGGGCTTGTGAGGGACCCCCCGAAGGAGTGAACGCTGAGGGTTTGGATGCATGAGCATGGCTGGGAATGGCTTCCCAAGGTCCAGGACCTTTCAGGATAGCTCCCATTTGAATACCCAAGTTCTGATAACTGGGGAGGTACATACTGGTTATTTTGAAGTCACGTGCTGTGGAAATGGGTGCTGTATTGCGGCCTTTCCCACACTGACACAGCATTTTTTGAGGGTTAGGTGAATGTCCCTTTCACCAGGTGAATACACAGACCAAAAACAAGAGGCCCCCCTTCCTCTGTCCATTTTGGTGTATCGTGCTTTGGAAAGGCAGGCAGCTGGAGACGTCAGAGACGCGGCCGCAGGGAATGACACGGACAGCTGTCTAGTCCACACCCTGCGCCAGCACCACGTGGACCCGGCTCGGACTCTTTCCTCCGGCGCTTCACATGCTTCCTCTTGTAATCTTCCACGGTGCTGGATGCGTCTGAGGCTGCTTGCCGGGGTCAGGGGGCTGCTCTGTGGAAAAATCCGTCAATGCAGAGTGCCCCAGGAGCCTCCGAGCCCCAGGAAGCCCCAAGGGCTGTTTCTCACCAGGGCAGCCAAGCGAAGCTGTGCAGGTTTCCACGGTGCCGCTGTCAGCCATGGCCGCCCCTGCCCTCCTCTCCCATCTGTGTGACCTGTGAGAGCGTATCTTTGGCCAGCTGGTTGTGCGAGATACAGTTGGACTCAGATCTGCCCCCTAATGCTTTCTTCCTGTGTGTTTTTTAAACAGTGCCTTGACGATAGTCTCCCTTTACATACTTAGCTTAAAAGGTCAAGACCAACGTGCCCCAAATCTCTCTCTGAGGTGAGTTTTGCTCTTGTTTTACTCTGGGGAAAAGGGTTTTTGAAGGCCCCCTTCATTAATCAGTTCGATCTTCTCCTCCAGCAATGTCACATGCTCTCGGGAGCCTCCGACCACAGCCTCCCCCTCAGGTAAGATCTTCACATTCCTCACCCTCAGACCCAGACTGCATTTCACGTGAATTGTCAGCAGGAGAACCAGTCTTTCAGGTTAACCTTGCTGCCTCTCTCCCCTCTGCCCAATGCTATGCAGCATCTAATATGTCCCAGGCAACCACGCAGCCCTCCTTCCAAGTACCAGAAATCACCTTCTGTGAGATCCTGCCGTGTCAGGAGACTCACTGCTGCCCCATCTGGGGAAAGAGACGAGTCCTCTCAAGTCCTATGCAACGGCCGTCGGGGGAGCAGGAAGTGCATCAGAGGCCATGGGCAGGTAAAGGATGTTCCAAACGAAACATCTAGGGCTTCGAACCTGAGGGGCTTTTCTGTGTTAATATTTACTTGCATAGTCTTCAGTTGCACCCTTCTATTTGGGGTGGCAGGATCTTTAAAAATGCAAATACGCAAACTTGCAGTTATCTGTAATTGAGTTCCTGCCCAGGTATGAAATTTGGTTCATTTAAGTGGAAGGGTCTCCTTTGTCCACTGCAAACGAAGATAGTAATAGTAGCCCAAGTGAAGTAATTACGAATGATGGGTAGATTTTTTGGCTCACTTAGAACTTAAAAAAACAAAGGAGTATCTGCGCTTTTCCCCCAACCATGTAGGGCAAAATGTAAAAGGCTTTGGAAACTCTAATAAGTTCAGGGTAAGCTGGATGTCCATGAAAGATACAAGGTCAGCAATCCAACTTCAGATTATCTTCTTCCTCTTAGGGAGAAACATACACCTCCATGCACACACATTTTTTAAGTAACAGGATTTTCATATTGAAAAAATTATGGACAATGATTGAGGGCTAAAAGTGTGATTACCTTTGTAAGATCAAATATAATACATCCAAATGTGTACTAATTATTTTTAGAAATATCCTTTTGTATACGTATTAACAAGCATATACAATAATAATGACGATGATGCTAATAATAGGAATACATGCATATTAGTATGGTGTGGTATTTAGGTACGTTAGGATGCTATGGTAACAACTCCCAAACCACAGTGGCTTCATATAGCACAAATGTACTCTGACTCTGTACATCAAATGTGGGTCAGAAGAGGTCTCCTGCTTCTCGTGTCATCCATGCTCCAGCTGATGGGTTGCCATCTCAACACATATGTCCACAACCTTGGTAGTTGTAGAAAAAGAGGAGGCAAATTGTGTGCTTAAAGCTTCCCCTGGGGTGTAACAGAGGTCACTTCTGTTAGCACTTTATTGGCCAAAGCAAGCGTCATTGGTCATATCTAACTTGAAAAGAGTTGGTGAAGCTGCTGACACCCTCATCTCTGACTTCAGGCCTCCCAACTATGAGAAAATAAATTTATTTTGTTTAAGCCAACAAAAAAACAAATAAATAAAAACAATTGGTAAAGTGCAGACCTAACAGGTACCTGGAAGAAGATGAACCAGAATATTTTCAAGAGGGGTTAGTGACAGCCACATAGAAGATGGTCAGTGGCTGAAGTGTTGGCATAGCAATGTAATTTCTTTTTCCTTTTGGTATTATTCCATATCCTAGTCTTGAATAAATATAATCTTTCCAAATCCCCATCCCCATCATCATTTATTGTACACAAAAGCACTGGCATAAGTAGCCTACAGGAATAAGTCATTTAATCCTCACAAGGCTAAAAGACAGGTACCGTTATCCCCATTTTTCTCAGTGAGGAAGGTGAGGCATAGAGAGATTCCTGCACATCTCTAGGAGGCAATACTTGCACTATTTTTCTCATGAAAGCAACTTTTGATTGAACTTGGGAACAGAAGCCTCACTAAAGGGTGAAGATAAAGGTTCGAGTGAACGCAGGAATTAGTTTCAGTCATCATAGTCTCCATAGTTTTAAATATGAAAAAGTCCACTACTGCCACAAATACCCACAAAGGCTTCATCCCTGTGAAAGCACATGGAACCCTGGGGCTGGTGAACCCTCTTCTTGCGTTGGGAGTGCCCCGTGGGAGAACTTGGCAGCCTTTCCTGAGAGCAGTCCTCAGAGGAGACCTGCGAGAGAAACAAGGACTCTGTACAGGAAGAGGTCACAGGCTCATCCAATCTTAATTTTCAGAAAGGTTCTTGACCCTTGAGCAAATTCATTCTCATAGCATCCAGCCCTTCCCATCAAGAGAGCGGCATCACTGAACTATGTGCAGGTTTTTTGCTCTGTTCTCTGGGGTCTGCGTCTTATGTTTCCGTGACTATGGGAGACACTGTAAAGACTCCTGAAGAAGAGGATCTGCTCCATGGGCCTGGGTCTTAGATACAATTTTCAGCTTCTTTGGCCAAAAATAGAAATTTAAGTTCTGCCTTCTCAGGTTCCCTGATATACTGGGAAAGTTGTTCCCTCATTCCTCTTCCATTTGGAGAGAAATGGAAAGGATTTAAATGTGCTATGTACTTTCACCTTGCCAAAGTCTGAAAACTTTAGGGGATTTAAGAGTCACAGAATGTCAGAGACCAGCTATACTGGTGGCACACTGATTTTTTGACCCTGAGAATCCACTATTAATCCATTCTACTTTATGATTATTTGGTTGAGAAAATACATGGAAAATGTAATTGTAAACTCAGTTAAGCTTTTCATTGAATTGTTTTTGTTAATCCGACAGCAGCACTTGAAAAATCTATGGGAGAGATGTAACTTTTCAAGTCCGCAGGCAATATCACAGACCCCTTTATGCAATCACCTTGGGTTCCAGAGTCCCCAGGTCAGGAGAATCTCTGATTCATACCAACATTTTACAGCTGGTGAAATAGAGGCTGAGGACCTTGCTGAAGGTTCTGCAGTGAGTTACCGGAAAAGTTGGAATTGGAGTCTGGGTCTCCTGTCTCCCTGTCCTGGATTCTTTCCCATTTACCATTCTGCCTTCATTTATTTGGGCGCAGTGTGTACATGTACCTGAAATTAACTCTAGAAGATGCAGAAAGTATTTACTGTATGGTTCTGGAAAGCTCCTCAGCAGCCCCCTCCCAAATTTTCCTAGAGCCATTGAGCTGTCCCCATTATGGGATATTTCTAGGAGCCTAGGGAAAGGCCCTTCTCGTCTGCTGCTCATCCATCCCTCCCTGGAATTCATAAATTCCAAAGAGGAGGCAGCCAGGCAAATATCCTTCCAAGCAGAGGTTTCTGAGGCACTGAAGACCAACAAAAAAGGGACAAAAATACAAAGGAAACTCAAGGGTTAAAAAAAAAACTTGGAAAAACTCTCAGTGGGCTAATCATATCCAAGTTCACCAAACTCCTGCACATTTGTAAGCCTGCTTCCTAAGAGGTAAGACTACTAGTGCAATAAGGACAGAGAAACCAGCATTTTTATGGCATACCGAGGTGGAGCCATTATGCTTCTTTTCAGTCTAAGCGGATTGTGTCAGGTGTCTCAGAAAGGTTAACCCCTCTTCCCCAACTTAAGAAAAGGCTTGGGTAAGACTAATCAGGAAATAGAAGATGAGTATTTGGAGGTTTTGAGCTTCTACTCTGAGGAGCCCACTGAATGTGATGAATTTGGTTTTAGTCTATGGAACCAATAAGATTTGAATAGACAGCAGAGTTAGATTCTAAAAAAGCAAAGAGCTTGTGGGAAAAAATATATATGGAATTCTACAGATTTTAGAGACTGGGTGAAGATTTAAAAGACTTCACAAAGCCAAAAGGCATCTGAAATTTATGCTTATTTTTTTGGAGCTCAGACCTCTGAGAAGAGCAAACGGCCAAAAAAATGGTTCCCCATCTTAAAGGACTCAATCATCAGTTGGGCTTGTTGACCTATTTTGGGCATGAGTCTTTTTTATTTTTTGCATTTCAATCAGGAAATAAAAAGGTATCCAAGATGCTGTATTTGAACTCAGCCTCCAGCACAGGTTTATAAGTAGTGCAATGTACACATTCTGCCACAACAGGCTGTACTTTGGTTGGACACTGTTTTAAATCTCTGCTCTCTAGAAGTTTCTAACTTTGTTTACTGGGAGATCTTACCTAATGATTGTGAAATATGTCTCCAACCTCACAATGAAAAACCACTGGGAATATGTATTGAACTGATAGTGAATATTACTGAAAGGCATTTGTAAAATGAGAGCCAGCCTCGTATGACTACAGGACAATTTATGGTTTTCCAATGACCAGCCTTACGAAATTGAATAGTCTTGCCTCAGAGAAGAGACACATTGGAGGGGTTTTATGGGAGATTTTAAATTTGTTATTTCTAATCCTGCTTTTGAAAAGCCATTTTTGTAATTCTAATCTGCCAGATTCTCTCTCTGAACTTTACCTTTCTATTACTGTTTAAAAAATAAACAAAAACCTCACCCCACCCGGTATTAAAGCCTGTCCCAGGGTCCTGTGTCTCCAGGAAGCTGAGAACAGGCTTCTGTGGAGGGAAAGCGGCACTGTAGTTCTGTTGCCAGAACTTATAAAGAGACCTTTTCCTGCAAATTCAGCAGGGAAGTAGAACAAAAGGTAGGGGGAGAAAGCCAGGATAGGTAAGTTCTGGTTTCCCCTCCTCTTCGTGTCTCCCTGGCCTTGTGATCACAGCCTTCTGTGGAAGCAAGCATACACAAATCTCACAGGAGATGGGCTTCAACGTTATTACATATACATATAAATTTGTATGTATATATGTATGTATCCTTAATGTAAACAGAAATAAATATTCAATTGTCTAGAAAATCCTCGCCTATCAAGATTCATTTCTCCTTAACTGAAAGCATCATGTTGGGCAGGACGCACTTAGGAAACTCTTCTGTCCTTCAAGTGCTGTCTCACTCATGTTTGCCATTTGGGTGAAGGAATCCTGCTCCCCCATCCATGCCAGCACCCTCTGCACCCACGCACCAGGGATTTCCCCTTGAGTGTGTGAGAGGGAACATTTTTTTAGTGGGTATGTGCTGGGCCTTTCTTCGCTCCCTTCCTCTCTTCCTTCCACCACTGCACAAATACTTGCTAAGCCCCCTCAGTGAGCTGGGCACCGCCTTACCTGGGGTCCCGGCAGTGAAGGCCGTGCTGCCTTCCAGGAGCTCAGTCAGGTTTGCACATAGGTAAAGGAGCCTCTCCTCCTGCTGTGTCCTAACCAGGACAGATGGAGGGGTGACTGTCCCCTAGCAATGCGCACAGCTGCTTTTGCTCTCTGTCCTAAAACTCCATACAGAAATTTGAACAGAAACTTACTTTAAATCTTGCCTCTTTTTCTTCCCATGAAAGCAGCGTACATTGTAGTAACTTGTCTTGTTAAATGAGGTTTATGTCTTTGTGTTTTCTCCAAAACTATGTTGAAAAATATAAATAGTATATTGTTTAATGCAAATGAAGAAATGCAATAAAGAGTATAGAGACTGGAAAACTATCTGCAATTTGACAAAATCATGGCTGCAAAAACTTTCAAATTCTTTTGTTAAATTTGTTCAGCAACCCACTAAGTGACTGCTTTCACTATCCACTTTAAAAACTTACAAGTTTTTTTCATAGCCTTCACACCAGTCATCTGAATGGTTCCTTTTTCAAAATTGCTTTTAAAATGCCATTTTGACTATGATGGGCAAAACCACTCTCCCAGCTTCCTTTCCACAAGCAAGTGCTGGCCACACCCCTGATGCAATTCTCTCTTTGGCTGACTGTAGGTCAGTCCTTACCTTGGGCCTTAAGCTTGCTTTTTTCCTGTGTGGTCTTATACTAGGAGTTACAGAGGACACAAAGAATTTTAATAGATATTCCATATTCTGGAGTTGTTGAGAAAGGACCAAAATATATGAAAAGTTAAGTGATAATACAGAGATAACACGCCTGGATATAGTGACAGATATGTATCACTAGGTGGTCACCACGTAGACGACTCCGTGATAAACGCTCTGCTGGAAAGCACTGGAAAGGAGGGAGCTGTGAGCACCACGGATCCGATCTAGGATGGTGTCTTAATCTGCTAGGGCTGCCGTAACAAAAGAGCACAGACTGGGTGACTTGAACAATGGGAATTAATTTTCTCACAGGGCCAGAGGCTAGAAGTCCAAAATCAAAGTGTTAGGAGGGTTGGTTTCTTCTGAGGCCTGTCTCCTTGGCTCACAGAGGCTGCCTCCTCACTGGACCTTTCAAGGTCTATCCCCTCTCTGTCTGCACACCTTCGTGGCCCTTCGTGGGTCCCAATCTCCTCCTCTTCTAAGCATCCCAGTTGGCCTGGGCTAGAGCCCACCCTAACATCCTCATTTAACTTAATTACCTCTTTAAAAGCCCTCTCTCCAAATGGTCACATCCTAAGGGGTTAAGGCTTCAGCATAAGGATTTCGAGGACAAAGTTCAGCACAAACCAGATGGCTTCTTGGAGAAGGAGAGTACACTTGCTCTGAGAATTGGGATAGATACTGGATGGATTGAAAGGAGCAGGGAGAGAAGGTGGGGAAACATCCAACTGACAGAAAAACAAAGGCACACAGTGTTTTTTTTTCTCATCCTGACCAAGTCTTAAAGACTGACATACATTTTTCCTCTTCAGAAGAAGGAAGCCCATCCTTCCTGGTGAGCGATGTGCTGTCCAGCCCAGACTGGGGGAGCGACTGTAAGTTTACATTTAAGTGACTCTATTCTTTGGCTTTGTGGGGCCAGGCAGAGTAAGAGCAGGCTGTACAAACATCACTGGAGTGAGGGATGGGGACAAAGGCTGCAACCTGTCTCGCCCACTCATGGGATTATGGTTTTCTAACCAACACTGGCCTAACCATGTAGAGGCATTAGAAATGATCACTCACTACCAGCTAAGCTGTGGTTGTGGTTTGATCTCCATGGGTTTTATGTTGTGGTTGATCTCCATGGATTTTAATAATTTATTTGAACTGCTTCCTTCTTCTTCTATTCTGACTACATTTTTATTTCATTTTATGTTTTCTGACTTTTTTTTAAGGTTTCTTTATTGACCAGATAGCATTTCATGCTGCACTTTCCGTTTTCAATAAATTTCAATTTAGTAGGACTTCCATGGTCCAGAAATGCTTTTGGATGTTATGGGGCTGTTGGAGCCTGAATTTGTATGAGTTTTGTTAAAATTTATTATAACAATGACAAAAAAAAAGCTTTCTCCCCTTTCTTCTCCTCCTTTTTCCATTTGAATGCAAATGGATCCATTTACCTAGGAAACTTATTTTACATTCTGCAATGGGGAGACCGCACCAGAGCATAGTACTCTTCTCTCTGAGGAAGAGTTTACTTTCTTTTCTCTATTGCCTCTCAATTCAGGGATTGATACAACCATCAGTTCTATTCAGATTATGGAAATCCAGCAAATAATAGATCATCGGTATTGCAGTAGAAGCCTCAAGTGCGGGTGGGTAAGCCTCCCCATTATACCCCGATTGCTTCTGGAATTTCTCATGGCTCTGGGTTCTTGAGCCTGGAGTGAAAGCTGAAGCTACATGGTAGAATCAGTGTGTGCTTGCATTGCTCCTTAAGTGAAAACACATTTGTCACATGGTGGAAGAGGGAATCATAAAACGGTTGATGTTTGCAAATGTCAATAAACCATGGCTCCGTGACTTCAGTCTCCTAAAGGCAAAAAGCTTTAGGGGGCACCCCTGTAGCTGACTCTGAGGGCACAGACCATAGACACAAAGCTCCCAGTTAACTGTATTGAGAAGAAAGACATTGTTACCGATGGCTCCCAGTCACATTCGTGTATTTTAATAACAAGGAATATCATTATTTTAGCTGCTGAAAGAATATAGCTTATCTTAGCTTTTTCAGTTAGTAGGAAAAAAATCCGGGTATTCCACAAGTTCTCAGCAAGATCCATCTCTAGTGTATGCTGCGTCACCTGTATTGAGGTAAAGATACACCCAGAAGCATAGAGTACAGACTAAAGCAAGCACAATAGCCAGGTTGCAGGCATTATGAATGCAGTTATTTTTCTTTCTTTGGTAAATATTTACCCACCAGGTTAAAGGCCAGGCCCTGTATTTTGAACTGGTATCCCAAATCCTATAGATTTCCAGCCTTATTTCTTTTTCAACCTGATACAACTTAAGCTTCAAGTTGATGGTCCTGAGTTTAAAAAATGAACTGTATGGCACCTTATAATTTCTTTATGACCTCTACGTTCATTATCTCATTGAATTCTCACAAAACCCCTATGAGGTTCATATTATTTATCCTCATTTTTCTGTTAAAGAACCTGAGGTTCAGTGGGCTTGTAAAAGAGACAGACATTAACTAATATAGTAGGGTGACACGATGAAGATCAAGGTGATTCGGGTTCATGTTTCAGACCTTTCTGTGCGATGGGGATGCCGTCTACTGCGTGGGGTTGCTGTGAAGCAAGCAGATGTTGGGAGGCACATAGTAGGAAATCAGTCCCATTAATCTAAGCTTCCTCCAGTCGAACAAAGTTTTCTGATGCCAATTCAGATCTATTTCCTTTATTTCTGATTTCTCATTTTTAGCAATTTAGTTAGTATTCAGTAAAGAGAATCTAAAATGACTGGCTCTTTTTCACATTTATCTGGTTTTAAATTGTTTCTCCATAGAATTCAAGGGATGTCCAGGTCATGAACTTGTATTAGATACAATATGTCTTTTTGCTGGAGTTTTTCCTTATAATCTGAATCAAATGAACTCCCACTCTGCCCCCCAGATATCTTTCTTAAAGTGTCGGGGGGAAATATCCATCTTGTAATTTTTTTCATTTCTAAATGGCAATTAGGACTATAATAATTTTAGTTGATTCAAGTTCTGAAAGTACATGGTACTTCCTGCTACTATAGCCTACAAGGGAGTAATTTACCGTAGAGAAGCTGGTATGTGTTTATCATTTCGAGTACCCCTTTCCTGAGAGATTGTGAATTCTCAGCCTCTGTTCCATTGGTCTTCTGGAATCTGTTAGCTCCTTGAGGGGACCTGAAGCACTTCCTGGGCGTTTAGTTTTATGTGTTTGGCCTGGGATTTGGCTCTCCATCCTTTCATCTGTGTTCTAACAAACTGTAACTCTTTGTGGTATATTTTATATTAAGCCCTGAAAGAGATTGGTCTGCAAGGTGACAGGTATGTCTCTGAAAAGCATAAAACTATATACCATCTTAGACTGTATTTTCTGTATTTATGATTTATTAGATGATATTTCACAGTTTACATATTATATAGTCAGTAGCAAAAAGCCTTTTGAAGTCTTTGCTGCATATTTTGATTTGCAGTTTTATTTTTTTCCATAATTAGGTCTGGAAATTACAATTACAATATTCCTGTTAATAAGCACACACCCACCAATGTCAAATTCTCTCTGGAAATCAAGTAAGTACCTAGCTGTACAAAACAGTTCTGTTTTTGTGGTTCTTTGAATAGCAAGTCTGAATTTACTTCACAATTTGATCCGTTAGTTAGGAGGTTACCTGTCCATATTAACTAGTGATGGTTGGGTTGAGAGGTGAGCCAGCTCAAGGGAGGGGTTTTCAGCATGGAGGCTGGGCTCTTCCAGGCTCCCACAGTGGAGTGGAGAGACTCTAGGCTGTCCATACACACCGGCAAAGTGGTTTGAAGCCTGCAAGCTGCAAATTGCCCTAGCTGTGCCCCTCTGAATGGGGGTGGGAATAAGAGAAAGAGCAAGCAAGTGTGGCCCCTGGATGGGGCTGCGCATTTTGGTGAGCTCTGACAGTAATGCTAATGAAGACCCCACCCCCTTTCCCAAGGGAGTTAAAAGAAGAAGCCGGAGTCTGGAGTTGGGCAGACCAGGGTTCAAATTTTGTCTGTCATTTACCAATTCTGTAATTTTGGAGAAACCACATTATCGAGTCTGAGCTGTATAGTTTACCTGTATAGTAAGTTTGACATTATTCCAGAACACATAGAGCTGCTGTGGGAATCACTGTTAATAACAGTGAAATTAATAACTACTATCTGCTGAGCTCTGAGTATATGCCAGACATGCTATACTTTAGCTCTGGATTATACAATCTTCACAACAACCCTGTAAATCTAGGATTTTTTTTTCTAGTTTATATTTGTCAGATGGGAACACTTGTTTAGAGAGGTCAAAAAACGTGTCCCCAAATTCACAGCTAGTAAGTGTTAGAGCTGGGCCTCAGACTCAGCCCATCTTGTCAACCATCACTTTTCTGCCTTCCCAATGGGATGAGATATGTGAGACCACTGCCCCTTTGGGCCCCTAGTAGGCACTCAATAAATGGTATCTTTTATTATGCCTACCTTTCCTCCAAAATCACAAAATTCTAATCTATTCCTATCAGATATTTTAAATAATTACTATATTTTAAGACTTTCAACCCACTGCACTAAAAAATTATGCAATGAGCTACTCACCAGGAAGATAGGGGATTTTATTTCATGTCTCTCCTCTTCTCCTTCTCCCCCTCTTCCCTCTGCCCACCTCCCTCCCCCTGTCCTTCCCCAGCTCCATTATTCTTCCTCCATCATCTTGGTCTCCTGCTCTGTCTCTTCCTCTCCTTCATCCAGGCTTCATACTCCCCTCATCAACTTGGCTTCTGTAATGAGCGAATAACGCTCAACCCACCTGCTTGCCTTGGAAAGGTTTATTTCAAGCAGTTAAAATTTCATGATTCAGAACCCAGCATATTTCAAGGCAGAGAAAAAGCTAAATGTACCCTTCTCCAGCATTCCCTGAGTAACCTGGAACAGCATTGCCTCATTCATTCCTAGCTTTGATGGAGGGAAATAAGCTTAAATAGCACATCCCTTGAAGTGGCAAAAGATCATCTTGAGCCACTAAATCAGTCTTTTGAGTTTAAGAACCATTTTTCTACTATGGGTGATTTTAAAATAGCACATGTACTCAACTGAGATTGTATGTTGTCCCACTTCTGCAAAAAAAGATAATTTCCAAAGAGAGATGGATCTCATCCTCTTGATGGTGATCAATGGGCCACCCTACAGAGAAGAGCCCTTCTTCCTGGCAGGCTTTCCTCCCTGATGGCTTTAAAGACTGGTAGTTTTGAATGAGCTCACCCCCATTCCTACCTGTGTTTACCTTACTGTTTCAAACAGTATCTACCCAGACCAGAAGTTTGCAGAATCTGAAATCCTGGAAATTTCAGATGGATGCAAATTCAGCTGCTACTGGAAAGAGAAGGGATATATCCAAAAATTATTTTAAAATCTATGGAGATAAGAGATTCTGATGCTGAGGTGATTTAAGTCATGATATTAGGTTTCAAACATTTTCATGTGCTATTTCAATAGCTGTTTTAGTCACTTGGGCTACTGTGACAAAAATACTGTAGACTGGTGTCTTAACAAACATTTATTTCTCATAGTTCTGGAGATTGGGAAATCCAACATCAAGGTGCCAGCAGATTTGGTGCCTGGTGAGCGTCTGCTTTCTGGCTCATAGAGGATCATCTTCTTGCTGTGTCCTCATGTGACAGGAGAGAGAGCACTCTCTGGTGTCCTTTTCATATGGACAGTAATCCACCCACGAGGGCTCCATCCTCAAGATCTCATCACTTCCCAAAGGCTCCCTCCTAACACCATCATGTTGGAGGATTTCCACATGTGAAGATTCAGTCCAGAGCAGTAGTCACCTGAGACTGAGTCTCTTTTTGTAGTAATGAGATGTGAGCTAGCATCTTGGCATCAGGGAGCTTTCTGTGATGAAATTTGGAACTTTGAATGGATTTCCAGTTTAGGTGCCCATTAGTGTCTCTTCTTATCAAGGTGTAGCCTAGTTCGAGTTGGTAACTGCTTTTCCATTTGCCCCTTCCTTCCCTTGTCTCTTGAAGCACAACAGAACCATTGATAGTCTTCCAGTGCAAATTCACCCTTGGAAATATATGTTTCCATAGCAAAAGGGGAGCCAAATGGATGCAAAGCCATGGAGAAGTCTCCCAGGAAATGACACAGGTAATGTTTTCCAGCTCTTCGGCCTTCCATCCTTATTCCAGAAGTGCATCTAGAATCGTACAATGCCTCAGTTCCTTACTAAAAGACTGGTGCTGCGAGCCGAATGCCAGTGTGTCCCCTAGCTAGCTGACCCTGGTCACAAGGCTTTGTTCAGCATCTTCTGTGTGTTCTTCAGAAGCTACAGACTGTAGGGCCCCCTGCCAAGAGCTGTTGGTACCTTTTTGTCATTTTCTAGTATAGTTAAGGAAATATTCTCTCAGGCTGTGCTCTTTCCAATTGGGTCTAAAATGTGGTTATGAAACAGATGTCTTTTTCCTTCATTACTAGGGATACCAGCACATTTGGAGCCTCCCTGTCGCCCCATTCTTTGATAGTGCATACCATTTCCGTGTAGCTGCACCGGTGAGCTGGCTTTCTTTCTTTCCTTTTTCTGTTCAGTGAGAAAGAAATGGACTATTAAATAAATATACAAATAAACAAGTCACTGACCTACAGTTGATTCTTATACTGTTCTTTCTTCTTCTGTTCTGACAGGACTTAGCAGACTGTTCAACGGACCCTTATTTTGCTGGAATATTCTTCACAGATTACTCCTTCTACTTCCATCGGCACTGTGTTTAACTCATTCAAGTTTGGGTGGGGGCTTTACCAGAGAAACATACCAAGAAATACGCTTGATGGAAACCTTCTTCTTCTTGCAACTTCTTTCTTCTTTTTGTGAATAAAATATTCACATTTTTTGGTGAAGGACTTTTTCGGGCTTTGGATCCAACAGTTTTGAGACATTAATGAGGAGAATAAAGTGTCTGCTGGAACTTGAGATAATGTGGTGTTTGGTGTTGTCATGACTGTGAAGAAAACATTTCCTGGAGTACACAGCACTATTGGATTTGAAAATACTGCTTCTGCTATTAAGGAAGTTGTGAGGTCAAAGTGGGCAGGTCCAACGTAACTTTGTCTTCATGTATTGCAAAGCTTTTGAAAAAAGCAAAAAGGCCCAGTTCAGCGATGTCAGCTGGGACCCACCATAGACTCCAGGGAGTGTGTGATACGGCATGTGCTTGTGGGCCAGGGTATGTGAGTCTGATGCTGAGCTCACATCTAGGCAAACTGTTACAATGTACTTGCAGGAGTGTGTATGTGCATGTGTGTGCACACATTGTACATGCATTGCACTATAGAATGTAGCTTGCTAGTGAATTGGATTTAAAAGAAACAGAGCAATTCTACTTCGGAATATTTGATGGACACTAAACTAAATGTTCTGTGCCCTCTTGTGAAGCACTAGCTTGTGGCAGTCTTTTAACCCAGAGAATCTAGGCCCAGAGAGTTGATCTTCCCATTGTCATTGCTTTTTTCATTTTTTGCTGTTTTGTTTTTCCTCTCTATTACAGGGCTTTCAGACCTGTCTCCATAGTTTATAGCTGAATGATCTTTGGGTACTTCTGCCTGGCTTTGGGGTAGATTTATGTGCTTTTCCCAACTTAGAATGGCCAGAAATCCTCTAGCTGGAACATAGCGACCATGTCTTCTATTTTTTGTATTCTGATGTTTTGACATCTTAGAGTCTCACTGGTGCTAGTGGGACTACCCGCCAGGGTTAACCAATTCCTAGAGGTAGTAAACTTGTCCACAAGCTTCAGATTGTTGGTTTCAAATACAAGCCAATCAATCCAAAACCTGTACCAAACCACCTTCTTTGTTGGATTCTCATGCACCCTATGCCCTAATCACCCCAGGGTCAGGTACAGACAGCTAGGCCCCAGTAACCCAGAGCCTGGTGATCTTACTCAAATGAGCCAATCCTAAGCCAGTTTGCCTGCCTCTTTGTGCGGAAACTTCAATAAAAGCTCTTGCTCCATTTTTCCATCTCCCTCTGCCTCTTGATGGACCCTAGTGTTTCCCAATGTGGACCCTGAGTCATGGTACGTCCCCTTGGTTTTATGAGCTCTAACGAACTATCTTTTTGGTGGTGATATTGTCTCCTGATCTGTTGGTCCACCTACAGCTCAAATTTTCTATAAATAGATTATATTTTGAAACTGCAAGATTCAAGCCCCTCACTGTAGTTCCAGGGCTGTGGAGTGACTGGCCTTCCTTTGTCTTACTATTGGCCTGTGAGTCAATTAGGATGAGACAATTTGTCTTATTTTGTACCTTGACAGTGATAATCGTTAGTAATAATAGCATATACTCCTTCCTTATTTTCAAATATTATTAAACATGCATGCCATGGGGCTGGAAATTAATTGTGAAGCCCCAACTATTAAGAAAAGAAAAGACGTCATCCTTGCTCTCACAGAAAGTATTTTGAAATAAATTTATTAACACAAAGGTAGATCGGTCCAGTAGGAATGGAGACTCTGGGGCCAAACAGTCCGTGCCTAAAGTTCAAATCCTAACTTTGTGTGAACTTTATCTAGACAAGTTAGTTAACTTCCCTAAGCTTCAATTTCCTCATTTATAAAAGAGGACAATGAATCTACAACAGATAAGACTACATGAGATAAAACATGTAAAGCATAGATGAGCTTTAAATAAACATAAGCTATTATTGGTATATCTGCACAGAACAGAATCATTATAAAGATTACAGTGGGATTTTAAAGGGATTGAGTCACTGAACATTCACACGTACACTGAAGCATTTTCATCAGCTGTAAAAACCAAACTGCAGATAGAGCATTTGTGTATTTACATAATGTTTACATTATTTCTGTATTTCAGCATAGCCATTGGAGAAAATTAAATGCGGTAGTTAATTCTTGGGAGGAATATTTCAGGATTGCTCCAATTTCTTAGATTCAGAGTTGGTTCTCTTGAGTTACAGGATCATCAGCCCGTCCCAGAATGACCTGTCTAGATACTGTATTTGCCTCTCCATTTTTTAATAGCATCCCAGGTGCTCCGTATAGGAGAGACTCTTAATTTGATCCTTCTACTGATAGAAGAAGGCGTGTCAGCAGTAGGGTTCTAAGGGTTCTTTTTGGCACATAAATGTCATGCTTTTATTCATGCACTTATGTTTGAGACAATATGGGAGTTTCAGATATCTAATGTAGTTCAGTAATGTTGCCTATAAGGAGATTTCTATAAAATGAATACTGTTTTCCCATTAAATTCCATTAAAAAGCTGAAAATCTTTTCTTCAGGGAGAGCTTCTTGCAGGAGATTGTTGAAAGCCTTCCGAAAGAAAGGATTAGGGTAGTAAGGCCGCCAGCAGCAATCTGTGGCGTGTTGGGGTTACGCAAGCCTGCAGGAGAAGAGGCTTTGCTGGGTGATTTACTGTGTGTTTGCAGGTATTCCCCAGTTTTGAGATGCCCACTGTGGACCGTGCTGCTTCAGGCCATTAGATTTGTCCTTATTCCAGAGAATTATCTGACTCTCTCCTGGAACATCTCCAAAATTCAGGTTATTAAACTGTCTATAAAAGCCTTCCTTTCAAAAGCCCCCTAACTCCAGTCTAATCATGAGCAAAACATCAGACAAATCCCAACTGAGGGATGCTCCACAAAGCACCTGACGGATTCCAGAAGACTGTCAAGGTTTTCAAAACCAAGGGAATTCTGAGAAATGATCACAACTACGAGGGCTTAAAGAGACATGATAACTAAGTGTGATGTATATCCTGGATGGGACCCCGCAAACAAAAAGGGACATTAGATAAAAACTAAGGAATTTTGAATAAACTATGGACATCAGCCAGTACTAATATACTAATATTGTCCCATGTATTATGACAGATGTTAATAATAGGGAAAACAAGGTATGGGGTTTATAGGAACTCTATGTACTAGCTTCACAATTTTTCTGTAAATCTAAATCTGCTATAAAGTAAAAAATTCATTTTAAATAAAGTCAGAGAAGTCCATAAGAGCTGGGCTGAAGTATTGCATGCTGCCCACTGGTGCCATTTGTGATAACAGGATAATTTTTCAGGTACTGAAAAATGAGTACCATTTTAAATCTCAGGTCATTAGTATCTTAGTTCCCTACCTTGCCAATTAGTTGTCAGATTCTGTATCTTAATTTGATCAGCTGCCCCCAAATGTCATAGAGAATACTATGTAATACAAAGCATAAATACTATATAATGTAAAATACTTGCATAACATAAACAAATAGAAGAATTACAGTAATTTCCCATAAGTTCTAATAAAGGAACTCCACCAAGATGTGAAAGCTCTCTGACAGATTTTTTTTTTAATAAACCAAACCATAAAGGTTCACTTAAAATAATTAGCATGCAGGGTCCCACCCTCCAGCACGTTTAAAACAACAGCATTTTGTAGAGCTCATGACCCATTT